TGGGGCTGGAGCAGCCTGGGACAGTGGGAGGTGTCCCTGCCATGGCAGGGGTGGCACTGGGTGGGATTTGGGGTCCCTTCCAGCCAATTCCAAGTGATTTTGGGAAGAGCTGGTCCACGTTCAGCGTTCCTGAGGAGCACCAGCAGAGGTTCAGGAGGCAGCTCCATGATCCCACCCAGCAGCACCAAGAACGTTGCTGTGGAAAGGAAGTGACTTCCACCAGCATCTGGGCCAGATTCCTTGGAATGATCCAAACTGTGACAGTTTGGCTTCCCCAGCCCAAATCTCACTGATCTTCTCAGATTAGAGACTTCTCACTGTGGTATCATAACCTTCTTTTTAAAAAATGCTATTTTTAACTTGATCAGAGTTACATGTTGGGAAGATTTGGGAAGATTAAAGAGCTGTTGTAGGGATGTGATGCTCCAGTGAGGGATTTGGGACATGGTGATGGGGAAGTGGCCAGGGAAGGTGACTGTGAGGATCCATCCTGGTGAGCCAGGAGCACAAATCCTTCCCTGTGCTGGAAGGATTCCAGAGGATTCCAATCCAACACGTGGAGGAGAATTTGGTGGGATAACAGTCCTCCAGCAGTTCTCACAATTTAAATTCTCCAGGAAAGTCAGTGCAAATGATTGCCTGCAATGATTTGAGGGAAAACAGCTTCAGCTGTGAGTTTGGAGCTACTGCCTTAGAGTTAAAAAAAGAAAAAAGAAAAAAGTTGGGAGAGCTCTCTCTATTCCTGCTCTCTGAAAAAAGAACTCTAAAAGCAGCTGATGTTACCAGAAACTCTGAAGTTTTTACTCTGTGTGGATGACACGTGAGCTGGGGAGAAGGAGGGATGAGCTGTGGTTTGTAGTTGTGAATTTGCTCGGAATAGAAACCAGATTTCACACTTGTGGTGAAACAGGAAGATCCGAGTCCCTCTGGAACTCTATTTTTGGATGTGTCTCTGGGCTCTCCATGGGAAATTCTTGGAGCATCAACAGACAACAAAAAGGCAGTGGAAATGGTGAAATAACTGCACTTTTACACTGGAGTTGCCTCTGGGTTATAATTTCTGGAAATCCAGAGGATCTGATAAAACTGTGAGAATAAATCAGGAGAAAGAAACTTAAGCTAAACCCACAAAATTACTTGTGAATGTCTGACACCACCTCTCTCCTCCAAAATACCAAACCCTAGAAGTTTTAAATCCACTCAGGAAACGATTAACAAATAACAGCTTTCAGGTCTTGTCTTTAAGAATTATTTACAGCTCAAAGCCCAGATTTTTGCCTGCTCTCCACGTGCTTGTTTCCAAAGAGGTGTTTGGGAGCTGAGGGAACAAGAGTGGAAGAGAAGCCAACTCCTCATGTTTTAGGTTTGATTTATGGCCTAAAAAGTGCCTGAATGAGGTAACCTGTTTTGAAGGAGGTCGATATTCTGAAAAGAAAGATATTTTGATGGGCAGGGAGTAGCACAGCAGTAAAAATTTAATGTTTGACAGCCAGAAGCTCTGGTGGTGTCTGCTAAGGAATGTCCAAGGTGCCCAGAGCACAGGAGACAAATTATATTGAGCCTCCCACTCACACCCACATCAAAAAAAATGCAGGAAATGGTATAAATTCACCACATCAAGTTCAAATCTCCAAAAAGCAGGAGGGACAGATATCCCAGGTTTTCTGGGAATGACACAGTGCATCCTCCCAGGGCTGTGCTCTGCTGGACAGCAAAGATCCAACAGCTCCAGCTGAGGAGGTGACAAACCTGGGCATTATTCCTGCCTCAGCCTGAGGGCTGCCATTTACCTAGGAAATACCTTGGGCCCAGGGAATGAGGGATTTGCCATTCTTCCATTAAAAACCCCAAAGATTTCATGGAAGCCTGGAATTATAAAATCCTAGCATCCTGGAATGGTTTGGGTTTGAAGGCTCCTTAAAGATCATCCAGTTCCACCCCCTCTGCCACTCTCAAAGGTGAAAAGTTGGGCTGTTGGGAGAATTCCAGAGCAAGTCAGCCCTTGGCAGAGGGGCTGGAGCTGTCGCTGCTCCTGTGGAAGGGTTTCTTTTTTGGGAGAAGTGGGATGTGGCTTTGGACATCCTTGAGCTGAAGGGAGCTCTGATTCCGGGCCTCCCCTTCCTAAATAGCCCAGAGTGGCTGGAAACAGAACAGGGATTTCAGGAATTTCATCCTTCCCTGGTTTTGGGAGGCCTGAGTGACCTCTGTAACTCCAACAGGGGAACACGAGCAACCCAGACTTGAAACCAAGTGAACTTCAAACCATCTGTTGATGCTCTTGGATTTTCCAGCACGTTTTTTGTCCCTCCTGCGTTTGGCAGCTGCTGAATTTGTTGGGATGGCTCCCATGGCTTTGGTGTTGTAGGGCAAAGATGCAGATCAGAACAGCTATAGTCTCCTACCAGGACATCTGCATTCTTGGGTGATACCTCAGAATTCTTTTGGTGATTTATTTTAATTCCCATAACGTGCTATTTGTTGGAAAATGATAAAACTAAGCTTGGAGAATTTGCTGAAAGTCACATTCCCACTCAGCAATGTTTCTGGTCAGTGAAGAAGGAACTGAGAGCTCCAGAAGATTCCTACGAGATCACATTTACCTCTAGAAATCCTTTTCCTCCCAGAAATCACAGGCTATTCCAAGAAAAAGCCATCAAAATATATTAGTGAATGAAATAGAGGTGTAATGGGTCTGGATTAATTCTGTAGCCAATTACATTAGGTTATTCACATCCCTTAAATGTCATTTGCCACAAATATTCCCATAGGAAATTGAGCTTTCCTCCAATATTGTTCAGGATTAGGAGCTAAAATTGCTGGGTTAAATGATTTACTGTCAATGAAAACACCACTCAGGATATACGGCTTGAAAATCCATTGTTAATTAACAGCATTCAATTCTTAATTGTCTTCGTACCAATCCAGTTGAAATCATTGACACAAAATACATTGTTAAACTGCTTAATCAATCATTGTAGAAAAATAGAGGTGTTTGATAGGGACATTCTAGTACAAAGTTTACGTGAAGCTTCCCCGTTGAAAGCTTTGGAGGCTTCTATATATTTTTTTTTAAAGCTTATGTTACAAAAATGAGATTTCATAAACTTTACAGTCCGTACTACATGGATACCAAAGACAAGAAAATACAGGAGGGGGAAGAGAGAGGAAGAGACAAAAAACACACACACCTTAAGCTGTAAGTGCCCTATTCACAAAAATAAAGCTTACACATGCGCATGCCCCAGTGGCGGAAAGTCTCTTTTTCCGTGCTGAAGGACACAAAAAAAAGCTTTCATCAGGGCCCTGAGCTGCAACACGAATTTTCTCAACCTGCAGCAGTGACTTCCAGAGAGGCCCAGTGAATTCGGAGAGCCAAAAGCAGTTTATCCTCGGAGGGGAAGCTTTGCTTTCGGCTCGCGCTCCTTCGGCGGGATGGACGCACGCGGGCGGCTCCGCGGCCCCAATGCTTCCAGAGGGGCTGTGGAGCCACTTTTCCCTAAAAACCCTGGAATTTAGGGAACCCTGGGGGTGGTGATGGATGGGCTGGAGCACGGGGCTGCTGCTGGGGCAGGAGGATGAGCTTGTGGCCATGTGCTGTCTCCCAGAAGTGTCCCACCCCAAATCCTCATCCTGCACCGTTCCTTGCATCCTGGGAAAGCCTTTTAGGGGAGAATGGTCAGTGCTGAAACCCAAAAACTCTCTTCCCATCCAGCCTGATCTGCCCTGGTGTGTGACCTTTCCCTTCCCCAGGCCCTGCTGTGCCCTCCTCACTTGGAGGCCCCCCCCAAAATCAGCCGCTTTCTCTGAAAATTAGCAAGGGGCAATTGTACCAGCAAAAAAAAGAAAATTAAAAAAAAAAAAAAAAGGAAAAGAGGTGTGAATTTAATGCCAAAGCTATATCACAGTGCAAATTTTCCACCTGCCCACCAAGTTTCTCCTGAGGTTTATTTTTATTTTTTTTTTCTCAAAAAAAAAAAAAAAAATTTTTTGAAAAAAAAAAAAAAAAAAAAAAAAAGCTTCGGATTCTCTTCAGTGTTGTCTTTCTTCCTGGAGTAGGCAGGCATGAAGAAAAACCCCAAAATTAAGGCTGCAGCTTCTCCTCCTTTGCTGTTCTTGGTGGGGCTGAGCTCCCCCACTGCCGTGGACGTGATGCGAGTTCTCTCTGCCCCGTGGATGGAATGTCCAGGGTTTTCCAGGGATTTACAACAACCAGGGAGCTCCCTAAGGTGGAGAAACTCACAGAGGAATGGCTCCCCTGAGCGTGGGTGGCAGGATCCCTGTGTCCTCCTGGGAATCCTGGTGGAAGGACACCCCCAGGGATGTTGTGCCCACCGCGCCTCAGCACCAGCAAATTGCAAATTTCATGGATTCCGTCCCCACGCGAAATCCAGCTGTTTCTTTCCCAGCTGAAGTAGCTAAAATCTCCTGGCTGAGGTGCAACATTCATTTTTCAATGGCTTGTGTGTGGGGTTTCTTTTGTGTGTAGCAAACTACTCCACGGAAATCCCGTGGGAGCAGATTCCCTGGATATTGCACATTAAAGGATAACCCCTCCACGTGACACGTGCTCGTTATATGAAGAGCATACAGGGAATTCTGGTTAGCCATGAATTTGCCACAGCCTCAATTTTTTCGGTCAAACTGCCCCCACAAAAGAGTAACCAGGAAGGGTTTTGCCTTATTTGTAAACATTTTCACAGTATGTCAGGAGTACAATTCTCTACCCTGCCCTCTCCCAGACTTATGGCTTTTTAGAGTGAGTGAAACGATCTGTTTGGCCAACAGTGAGGTACTCTAAATAGCTGCCAGTCTGGTACACTGAAGAAAATGTTATGCACTAGAAGAGTCATAGAGGGGACGGGGAAAAAAGATTAAAATTAAAATCAATTTTACACTGCAAACATTTGAAGAGAAATGCCTACTCGACGGGTAGTTAGTTTTTGCATCCCAATATTTCTAGAGCTCTGTTTCTAAACCTACATTAATTACACAGCTGTGTACATTATTTAGAAGTTCTTTACTACAGTACTTTTGTACATGCGGCGTTTATTACTAAATGTAGAGAGAAATAGTTACATAAGGCATATGTACAGGGTCGTGTGGGGTTGCAGATCCCTCTGCTCACCTTCCTCTTAAAGCTGCAAGGCCCATTCCACTGTCACCCAGTCTGTGAAACTGTCCTGAAATACATAAACACTCAGTCAAGACCCATTGCTTTGATGGGCATTAATTAGTTTTTCTTTTAAAATCCCTTGAATACATTTCCTTTGCGTTCAGGGACTGGTTTTTGTGTTGTTGATGTGGATAAACCTGGAGGTCTGCAGTGGAGAGGGGCCATCAGTCACTGCCAGGGGGAGATTCCACCATCCCTGATGGGTGTTGCAGCTTGAACCCACGCCTTGGCTTAGTCTGGGAATCTCTTGGGTTGAAGTTGGGAATTCTCATCTAAAGCGTTTATTTTCCGTGAGTTACCAATAGCAGGAAGAGAAAAAAATTAAAGGCGTGTCGCAGAAAGAAACAGGGAGCAGAGAGGGAGGAGATAAAGGATGTGGCGTGGCCTTTATTTCTCCTCTGGTTCTACACTTTGGACTCATTCTCCAAGTTGGCCACGTCTCCGTTTCTTTCGTTTTGGTCTTCTTGGTTCTTTTCCTCCTCCTCCGTTTCCAGCTCGGCGTGTTGGTCCAGCTTGCTGGAAACAGACCAGGTCAGGGGCAGTTCTGCTCGGCTGGCCATCTCTGCCAGCTCTTTGGCACTGTAAACGGGGGTGTTGGTCTCATAGGTTTCGTGAAAACTGTTGTAGTCAACCTCGTAAAAGCCGTCCTCCAGCGTGAGGACGGGCGTGAAGCGATAGCCCCAGAGGATCTCACTGGTGATGTAGGAGCTGCGAGCCTGGCAGGTCATCCCTGCAACAACAGAGAAGGAATAAGTGCTGTAATCAGGACCCACGGCTCCCCCAAGTCTTTAATTGATTTTTTTTTTCTGTCTGTAAGAAGGACAGAGTGAGGTTGGACATCACACGAGGTGGAGCTCACAAAACACTTTTAGGGAGCATAAACTGACGCCCTTTCCTCCTGTGCATGTGCTGAATAAGAAGGGCTCAGTCTGACAGCGAACATTTTAATAATTATTTCTTTATTAAACACTGACAGCAAACATTTTAATAATAATTTCTTTATTAAACACTGATCTTTTGCCAGTGTTTCACCAACTCACCTGCTGCGGGTCTCAGGTGGTGTGGGGCACTGTGTCATCCTCTGTCCCCTGGCTGCCACAAACCCACTGCCACGCTCAGCACGCGCCCAGGGGAACAGGAATTGTCACCAAAGCTTCCCTCTGCTGGAGCCCACCCTGATCCCATGATCCAAGGGCTCCCTTGATCCTCAGGTTTGAGATTTTCTATGTTTCAGGTTCTGTGCTGCTTTAGTGTGTGGGTCTGGGCTTCACATGATGGGATGCTGAGCTCTGTGCACAGAGCAGAGACAAAACAATTCCTGCTCCAGCTGGGCACCAAGGACAAATGATCCAAACCTCAGGCCAGGAGCACAAACAGCGTGGGCTGGAGAGAGAAAAACAAGCAGGGTGGGACTGCCTGGGCTGGAGCTGGAATGGGACAATGAACTCCAAGGTGCCAATGGAGCAGAACTGATCCCAGGGAGAGCCCCGGGAGCGCTCGTGCATTTTGGGACCATTTTGGGTCATTTGGGTGCAGCCCTGGCTGGGCTCTGGTGCTGCCCAAGGTGGATCCATGGAGGAGATCCTTTAATAAATCCCTGCTTTATTCTCTGCTCTAGCTCAGCCTTCCCAAGGCATCACCCCTGACTCCCCTAAAAGTGGGAGTCACCTTTTAGTTACCCTCATTGTGAGAGCTGGGCTGGTGAGCAATGCATAAATTACAATACAACTCCTGGAGGATGTTGGGATATTGTCTGGTGTGGAATTGGGATAACTGGGGTTAATTTGTTTGTTACCTTCTTTTCACAGATCTGCTGAACCTCACCCTAAAAGGCAAAACAAGACCGTGCTTTGTCCAGAGGCACAAAGACAGGTGCTGATCCAAGCTCAGGTCACATCCCAGAGTGTCCTCTGGGTGAAAAAATCCCTGGGAATGGCAGGGATCTGTGATTTGGAACCTGCTCCATCCCAGACCCACAGCTCAGGGAAGCACTGCAATAAAATATGGATGCTCAGGAGTGGAAAGGAAAAACCCAGCTGCCCAGGAAATATGGCAAACCCAACGGCCCAGGCAAAAATATTAGGAGAAGTGAATTTAAGAGGCCAAAAATGATGCCAGCTTTGATTACTGCCCATTATTACCATTGTATTACCAAGCTGAAGAGTATATATGGAATATTTAGTAAATAAAATTGTTTAAGCCCTGGATAAGCTTGGCACACGTCAGTTATTTAGAAGGCAATAATAAACAGTTAAAAACAATAAATATAGAGAGCACAAATGGCAGACTGTAGAAATGCCCCTTGTCTCTCTGTACTGGTGGCATCAGGGAAAGTCACATGGAGGATCCTGTGAAGAGACAGCACTGGGAGTTTAATGTCCCAAATATTTCTCAGGGATGTGATTACTGTTCCAGGTAATTCTCATTCTTTAAAGCCTTCTCTCCCAAGGTCTCATTTCTTCCTTCTGATGGCTGAAAATTGCTGTTTCTCTGCACTTCTCACTTGTAGTATCACCTTTAGGAAGACATTTACCAGCTGTCACCACACTATGACATTGCTCCAGTGTTTCCCTGCCCTTCCTGCAGCACCTTGGACCCTGTGGAGTGAGGATTTCCAGAGAAAAAAGTGGGAAAGCTGCTGCTCTGGACCTCCCTGCTGCAGCCAGGCAGGAACACCACCTCAGCTCTCTTTCTTTAGGCCTGACACAAATATTGAAGCCTTCATTTGTCTCTTCATACTTCCAGGACAATTTTGCATTTCCATTCTCAAGCAAATGCACACCTGTAAATACAAAGATCTTCTCATTTTCCTGCTCTTTCAGAGGTGGGAAGGGTGGGAAGAACCAAGCCCTGTGACAAAACCAGCTCTTGTGACATTTTCCATGTGATTTTGAGTTTTAAAGGATGTTTGGTTTCCCTCAAAATAACAGAGGGGGAGTGTGGCAGCTCACAGGGCACTGTAAATAACAATTCCATGGAGCTCCAGGCTGGCAGAGGGGCTGGAGAGCTGGAAAAGGCCCTGGGGGTGCTGTGCCAGGGGCTGGAGAGCTGGAAAAGGCCCTGGGGGTGCTGTGCCAGGGGCTGGACACGAGCCCAGGGGTGCCCAGGGGGGCAAGAGGCCGCTGGCAGCTGGGCTGGATGAGGAATTGTGTGTCCAGCAGGAGCAGGGCAGGGATTGTCCCTCTGGGCTGGCTCAGAGAGGCCCCTCCAGGGCTGTGCCCAGTTCTGGTCCTGCAGGAGAGACCTGGAGGGGCTGGAGCGTGTCCAGGGCAGGGAACGGAGCTGGGAAGGGGCTGGAGAGTTCCTGAGGGAGCTGGGAAGGGGCTGGAGAGTTCCTGAGGGAGCTGGGAAGGGAATGGAGAGTTCCTGAGGG